ACTTTCAATTCTTCGCTGCTAAGGTCTATGAGGTTAACACCTGTCAGAAGCCAAACAATGACCTCATCTCCGCCCAACCATTACGGGATGAAGAAACGGTCGTAGCAACCATCCAAGCCGACTTGGACCTTACAGCCTTGTCGTCTCAACTACCTGTAACCTTCGACAAACTGTGCGAGCAAACAAAGAAGGATCAACTCCTTCAAACGATCAGGCAGTACATCACTTCCAAGTGGCCGAACGTCGACAAGCTTCGGGAGTCCCCCGACTGGACTCAAATCCAACAGTTCTATCGTCGACGCGACGGACTCAGCGTCGAAAAGGGATGTCTCGTCTATAACGAACGCATCATCATCCCCACACTACTCCAACGTAGGGTACTCAAACTCCTACATCGTGGACACCCCGGTATCCGGCGTATGAAATCCCTAGCCCGCAACTACGTCTATTGGCCGAATATAGACCGCGACATCGAGTCAACCGTGCGACAGTGCTCTCCATGCATCTCAGCTGCAAAACAACCGATAACTTCCGAACTATTCTCCTGGCCGAAACCTGCTACCCCGTGGCAGCGTATCCACATCGACTACGCAGGGCCTTACCAGAGCCAAAATTTTCTAGTCGTTGTGGATGCCTATTCGAAGTATCCGGAAATTATAAGCATGGAAAAGACTACGTCCCTCGCAACGATCAGCGTGCTACAGAAACTCCTCATTCGTCACGGACTGCCAGAAGTTCTCGTCAGTGATAACGGTACGCAGTTCACCTCGTACGAATTTAAAAGATTCTGTGACCAACATGGAATTAAACACATCTTTTCGCCGCCCTATCATCCTCAATCCAACAGGACAGGCGGAACGATTCGTAGACACGGTGAAGCGAGCTCTCCTTAAATTAAAAGGGGAGGGAAATATACAACGGGCTTTGGACATATTTCTGGAGACTTATAGAGTAACTCCAAACTCGGCTCTACCGGACAGCAAATCCCCAGCCGAACTCTTCTTCGGACGGAAGATCCGAACATCACTCGATCTATTATTGCCGCCAAAATATCCAACAGAGCGCGATATCAAAATGGAGAGGCAGTTTAACCGGAAACGAGAGCGAAAATTCACTACTAAAGAGCTCGTCTTTGCACGACACCGACGCTCTCAAAATTGGCAGCCGGGAACAATTAAATGCAAAACCGGAAACACCGTATACGAGGTGGAAATGGCCGACGGATCAACTCGGCGATTTCAATCCAATCAGCTATTACGGAGACAATCTTCTCGACCTCAGCCCGAGGATGACCCCCTCGCCGTCATAGCAGAAGCCTTCTCCATCCCTCTACGTCCCGCTCCGACTCCAGACTCAACACATCCGGTTGAAAGACCAGCCCAGCAGGACGATGAGTCCCCGCCGTTCGAGAGACCATGCACCGTAGAAGAAACACCGCCCGAGAGATCAACACCACAGCCTCCACGTCGGTCAGCCCGTACTCGAGTCCCGATGGGACGGCTTCAGATAATCCCTTATCGAAAAAACTATTACGCGGCATAAACCGCCAATTCGGACAGTTGTTTTTTTCTCTTTCTTAAAAGGGGAGGTGTTGGGTCAGGTGTTTACCACGTGTTGGATCAGGTGTTTACCACATGTGAACACCTAACGATCGGGGTTCAATCTGGAACCCGGAACCCATAAAGTGATGTTTACGTGTGAGTGCAACATTCGGGGTTGTTGTCTTTTTGTTCGGGTCAGCCAGATGAGTAGGACGTAACCGGTGTTCTGTCCGACCGATATAACCGTTTCTTTGCTACATAAAAATACTACGTTCTAGAGGCATTCTCCCTTAAGAACTTAACAGTGGCTAAGAACCCAACACTGTACTTCAATGATCACGTGATTTACATTTTCATTTAATTCGAGTGACGTCATTAGTTTCGATTTCAATTTACTCTGGTGTCAAATTTCCTTTGTTTCTAGCGCTATGGTTACTAGTTTAATTATATAACTCAAAACTGACATTTACCTTGTTTAAAATATCAAATCCCGTTAAAATACTTATGAACTTCCAGATATCGAATGCTACATTATTGAATTGTTATAGAGAGGAAAATGGCAATATTTTAGTTTTGATAATTTTAGTGAATTAGCTAATGTAATATTTCGAGTAATTGCGATAACCGAATGATTAATTACTTTTTATTTAAATAAATTTGCTCAATATTTTTATGAAACTGTGAGTTGTTTTCCTATGACACTTTTTCCTAGACTCCTTATTTCTTTTTAACAATAACCACTATTCGTCTCACCACCAAGTCAGCATTTGCCGCCTCACAAATGTAATTATGTAAAATAAATAACTACTATACACAGTATTTAAGAAGAGAGCCTGAGGCGAATATTCCACCTGTCCAGGCCTAAAAACCATCCTGATTCGAGCAATTACTAAGTATACAAGATACGCCATCCATTAAAAAGATTAGCATAAGTAAAAATTTCTTTTTTGCTAAATCTTAAAAAAAATAAAAAAATGGAAAATCGAGCCATGACACAACTTGGAAAGTTTGGTAAATTCGAATTTTATGTTAAAGGATTGTATTTTCTTATAAAACTAAAAATTTCTATGCCAAGCATGACGGGGAAATTTTTTATGAGAAAGTAGAGATTGAAACTAACGGGTTCGTTAGATCGTTACTTCCTATTAGATATTAGAACATCACGTGGTTACTATGGAACGATTTATTAAAAACTTTGTTATAGAAGTGACACGAAAAAGCTATCATTTTTTAAAGTTTAAACTTTAATTAAGAAAGTTTAAAATACTTCATTTGCCAAAATATTTAAAAATGCGAGTTAAGGGAAATCAAGTAGTCAGCATGAACGTCACTGCAATGTAAATGTGATCACCGATTCGAAATTTATAAAATATTTACTATGTAGCTAATACTTCCATAAAATAAGTAGCTTATATTTTTTGTCAGAACATAAAACAAATATTTAATAAAGTAAAATTTTTGTACAAATAAAACGAATATAACAGAAATTTCATCTGAATTGGACAAAAAAATGCAGGAGTTATAAGGAATTCACACACATACAGCGACGATAGCTTTTATACTGTATTAGTAATACGTGCGCTTTACTGATATTNCTCACGTACTGAACTTCGTGTACATTTTTACTTATTCCATAAATAACTGAAAATAATTTTCGTCTGAAATGGTAAGTTTCATTTTAATTATATATTTCTTTATTTATTGGGGAAAAAACTATATATATATTTTTTTGTTTTCTGCAGGAAAATCAACGGAATGGAAATGCTACCATTGAATTTCGTATGCTAGGTGACGACGAGCTGATCAGGCGATCGATTGAGGAACTAAACGGTTTCTTTCGACTGGCCGGATACAGATGAAATACATGCAGCGGAGGATAAAATACTTGAAACAGGAAAACAATTGTAAATGTAAGTTGAAGAAATTAATTGACAAGTTGAAGAACGACACGAAAGAGATTTTTCAATCAAAAGAAGAGAATTCAAATTTAAAGGAAGAGAAGAAATTAAAAGACGACGTTCTCAGAGTGAAATTTTCGTACAAATCGAGAAACGCACCATTACCGAACGAGATAAAAGAATATATAAGGGGAACCTTAAAGGATTTTAATGAATAAGCAGACCCGCTCTCGATACCCGGTCCATCTCATAGGTAGTTGAACATGCTGAAAGGCAGATTCATTGTATTTTGTAAACTCTATTTTAAATATGTTATTTATAAATGGTATATTTAACGTTAATTTTTAACTGTTTGTTTTTATTTTGAAATTATCAAACATGAAATAAATACTGTTGTAAATTTCTTGGAAGTTGAAATTTCTGTTAACTCCATAAGACTTAAAAAATCAATCTTAAACAATTAATAGTTTGGTATTACATTTGCTACGTTGTAACTGGTAACTTAGAGAGATCATTTCGCGTTTACTTAAAAAAAAAAAAAAAAAAAAAAAAGAGACAAATCAAAAATTAATCATTAAATTTTCTTTCATCTTAATTTAAAACGTAACAAATGAACTCAACAATTGACCGATTGTTGTTGGTTTGCTCTTTTTGTTGCGAAGAGTTCGTTTTCGGAGTTTTGGAAAATGAATTTTAATTTTGCTGGGTATTGTCTCTTGGATGATCCCTTCGGGTGAGAGATTTTTAACATTTTATTCTTGTTTATTCAAATGACAATTTACTGAGGAAATTATAAGCTTTAAAGTAAAATTTCTCGGTGAAAAATTATAATTAATTAATTAAAATCTAATTAACAGCAATGCTCTTCAATAAATATTAAGGTTTTTGATTGGCGGAGAGTTATAGAAGAGATTTTAATCGGTTTTAAACTTAAATTGTTCTAACTATTCTCAATAATTAGCGAAATGGTCCACGGAGATTATTATAAATTTGCTTTTGGATTTTATCATTAGCTCTACAGGTTACAGTTAAGGGCCACACGCTGAGAAGATTTACGGAACTTAACGTATGGCCCGCTAATTTTCTCAGTGTGAAACAGCAAATTTAAATGCTTAGCCGTATTGAAACCTTACATTATAATTTATAAAAAGCCCTTCTTTTATTCTAAATGATAATATATTTAAAGTACGAGGCCCTAAACGTTACTCGCTTCAGTTTATACTTTGATGAGATGTTTTCAGAGATTTTAAATAAAATGTTTCCTTAGTGTAATAATTTTCTCTGTTTATGTTTAGGGAGAGATTGGATCTGCACGGGTTCGTCAATCCAAATAACGTGGATTCTTTTAGATTCCGTGCCAAGAGGAAGAAAGGCCTCCCACAGCAGGATGAATCAGTAGAAAGTTCATCTAAATGTCCTAATATATTTGACAGTAGCATCAAGCCTGCTTGTAAAGAGGTTCTCAATAAGGTTCGACCTTTGTATGAGAGAACGTGCAATCGTTTGAAGAGGTAAATTATAACAATGATTACATACATAATACGAAGTAATATAGTACAGGTATGCATGACTTAACGACGAGGATGTGTTTCGAGAAATACGTTATTAATTAATTAAGAGTATACTTGCACAAATGCAGTAGGCTATATTACACAATGCATATAGGCTATATGTAACAAAACAATAAGTACAGGGTTTATGTATCTGAATATATGTAAACGTAGAAAAGGTAACCCGTAAACGTCTACGAATTTTTGGCTCCATTTTATTCTCACGAGACTTCCGTGGTTCAGGGGTGCGTATCTGTATATATGTTATCAAGCTTCCACCTAGTGCCACAGTTGTTTCGCCTTGCAGAGGGGCATAAATTCGAGTAAAGCGCTAAACCGAAGCACATCGAACGATAAGAATTATGTGTAGTAATGAGTTCTACACACAAGTTTGGAGTTGAGTTAGAATAGCTCCTACACCTCCACAAAATAATAATAATAAACATATTAACGCGATATATAATGTTTTTTTAAATATTGTTCAACGAATTTTAGTTTATTCTATTTAAAAATTCGAAGAAATGTTTTAATATTATGTATTTATTGAGTAAAGTTCAAATTACCACACATACGTCAGTTAAATTCAAAACTTAAATATATATTGAAATAAACGTATGTACAGTACAAAGGTTCACAAAACAAACATTTACAAAACTTCAGATGTTAACAAAGTTCAACATATTTATACACTACAACAGGTCCGTCGAAAAGACACCTTGCAACGAACTAACTCTAGTCCTTTACAGTCCAACGACCGGGACCAGCTTAGGCGAACTAAGACCAAACGTGAGTCCACTTTCAGAGTCCACAGTGAACTGAACTTCCCGCCACAACTCAATCCTTTTATAGGATTGAAGCTGAATTGGATTCCACCAATCAGAACTTGGCAGCTCTACAAGACGTCCGCCGATGGCGTGATGTCGCTCAACCAATGAGCGGTCGAGTCTTCAAAAGTGGTCTGATCGCTGTTTCTATGGTGACAACCGTCGTTAGTCGAACGATTGGAAAAGCGCGGGAAAACCGTGTGCCAGACGATTTTTATCCCGACATATTGCATTGTAAATTTTTTCTTTCCATGTTTAGTGAGAGATTGGTTGAAGATTCTTGTGGAGATAACATAGCATATCGTGAGAAAAATCCATTGAAAAAGGTCGGATCTTTCTTTAAATCAATGTGGAAGCC